CTGTGTTCTATTTCAAGGAGAATTTCCTTGAATATTTGTGAATACATAAAAGAAGGTTCTAGCTGATCTAGATTCTTGCTAGAACCTCCTGCATTCACACTAACAATGCTCACCGACATATGATCTTGATTGTATTGTTTGATTGTTGTTGCCAATTTGTCACAAATATGTTTGATTGAGGTGTGAACACCTTTAATTTTCGGCCAATTTTGCGCCCATACTTGATGCCGTTGTTTATTGCCACAAAATATAAAAATGGCATTTAATTTTGCCATATCATGAATATCTGGTACCAAATGTTGTCCAATTGCACCTGAGGAGATAACAAATGAGATCTCCTCTTGATTTTCTGTGAGCTGTTGTATACATTGTTCAGCTGTCTCACATGGCTGGACTTGGTTAACGACAGCACGTAATTGTTCCATTGTATTTTGGCAATCTTGATTTGCCATGTCGATATTTCCATCGACCCATATGACCAAATAATTTTCAGCCATACGGTGTCTTTGATATCGAGTCGTTTTTGATGCCATTTTTGCTGCTTGATTAGTAAATAGATTGTTGTTTGAATAGATATTACTTTTGCTATTTATACGTTGGATGTCGACTGTTTTTTTCGTTGAAACTCAAGGTCAAACTTCACCTGGATGTAATCAAAAGTATCGTTGTCAGCAACAATACTTAGAGAAAAAAAACCCAGCAATATCATTTATTTCATGGTTATTCTTTCCAACTTTCGTTTTCTTATCATCTATATAGTTAATAGTCACTTGAAAGTCAGTGCGTTGGATGTCTTATCTCATTCAGTTTTTATTTGTCTTCTAGCATCTCGAAACAAATGAAGACATTATCAGTTTTATTTTTATTTTTTATTATGCATAAGACTTACTTTCTGATAATGTGACCAAAAAAAAATGAAGAATAAATTCAATATTGTTACAAACAACAATAGAACAACAGTTTCTGCTTGCTCCCCCAATATACTGTTCATCATTCACGAGTTGTTCAAGTAAAATAATAATAGTTCGAATATAATTGAGTAGTGAAGTACGTATTATGAATTCAATGAAAGTACTAAAATATATAGATATTTCGAGATTTTTACGTCATATGTATTGAGAAATACGTTTTTTCTGAGTATAATAAATATTTTGTTAATACAAAAGAAATTTTTGATCTTTCTAATCACGATTTTCAAATATTTAACTGTTGATGGAAAGGACAGTACAAAGAAAAAGAAATCTTACTTGGAAATGAATTACTATGTGATTACAATTATTCAGTTAATTTTTACAGTGTATTACAATGAATTATTTTAGGTTTTTATTAATTACATATGATTCATATTTATCATGATATTAGTTACATTTATAATGTCATTATTTTCATCTCTTTTGCATTTTTTGTAGTGTTCTTTCCATCGATACTTACATGGTTTAAAAGTGGTCGTTAGAAAGACAGAAAATTCCCTTTATATAAACAAAATATTCATTATACTCAGAAAAATATTTATCTATATATTTAGGAATGAAATCCGTGCAAGCTTTTATTGATTTGCTATTACAATATTTAAAAAATTGTCTACTTGCAATTATGAACTTTACTCGTGTCACATACTGCTACACAGTTTCAATTCTAATTCAAATCAATTCTTAAAATAAAATTAACCTTTGGTTTTTTTTCTATTTCGATAGAACAGTTATTATTTGAATGAAAATAGTTTTATTTCTGGATACTGATGCCATATGTGATAATGAAAGTTGCATTTTATTTCCAAGTAGTATTAGACAAGTACTACTATATTCCCGTTTTTTCAGTGTGTGAAATGTAATCATGACCGTATCTCAGTAAGACTGACAGAATGAATTTATCATCACTCATAAGCTTGTTAATATGTTTTTTGATTTATATTAAACTCATTTGGAATATATATGGTATAATAAAAAGACATCTTGTTCCATTGATATCCAAGATTCATAAAAAACTAATATTCAAATTGTGTTTGTCCACATGTGAGATTCGTACAATTTTAATGTGCATCACAGTGACAATGAGAAAATTTCTGCCCTGTGTGTTAAAAGAACGTTAGAATCTATGTACGAAGTATGATTAGTATAATGTTAAAAAGATCATTAAAATCGAACGACTATTCAAGAATTTCTTATTTTCACCGTAAGAAAGCATCTGAGTGATATCAATGAGAATGACTGTTTCAAAAACCTTCGTTTCGAAAAAAAAACACAAAACAATATGAAATATTTTCTATCATCGATAAATTTGACGTCTGGCATTTGGCTCAGTCAAAATACTAAAATAAAATGTATCGTACTGTAGTAAAATTTAGTTCAAAAAACATATTGAAAAATAAATCAATGATCGAGATTGGATCACTTTGATGCGGCTGAATCTTATCGAAAAAATAGTAATTCGATTTCCTACAACAAAAAAGATATTTAACATGTCAAAGTGTAAACATACGATATTTCTTTTATTAGTGTGAATGCATACTGTTTGTGATTATATTGTATGAAAAAAAATTGTTGATTCATTTTTGGATAAAGAAAGTCTTTCGGATACATATGGATATGTACCAATAAAATTTACTTTCTCTGATTTGGATATAGATATTCTCTTCATGCACACCATACCCTATTGTCCAGATTTAATGGTATGCGACATGAATCATATCCTTATGTAAAGAAAAGCAAAAAATAATTGTTTCTCATATATTCACATTCTATTCAGCAGAGAACTAGAACAGCTTAATTTTTCATATAGATCAGTTGAATATATAAGCAAATAAATCAAGTATTTTCCATGAAAACATTCTATAACTTAATCTTTCTGAGGACTCAAACATAGCTAAATCTCGTTGTATACAGTACAAAATGCATTAGAAGGTTTTATACTATTAGTCAAAGGTTGCTGATATCGACAAAATATGTAATATAAAATAGAATTTTATAAGAAAGTACAGACAATTTTGCTAATAACAAGTTCCTTCTTTTTGTAAACTTTGTCGTTTTTCAATCTTTAAGATTTTATTAATAAAATCTTAATCAAAGTAGATTACAAATTATCCTAACAATAAGTCGATCTAACTCAGAATTTAGCGAATTTCATCGTAATGATAAAGTGAAGAAGACTTAAAATAATCACCATCTACATTAGTCGTACTAAAAATTAATTCATATTTTTTTATTTTAATTTTATTTGACATTATTTATTAGTTTTGTTAATCCCCAGTAAGATTTTGTATCAAAGAAAGAATTTAAAACACAAAGCACTCAGTTGCTAAGAAAAAACAATAAAAGAAAAAAGCTAAAAACAAACATTCATCAACTATTATCCAACATGAAGAAAGAAAAAAAAAACTTTTATTTTTTCTTTTCTTTATAATTTTTCTGATGAATGATGATCATGAATAGTTTTTATTGTTGTATGATCATCATAAGAATTTTTCATATGTTGTTTAAGCATTTTTTCACTTTGATATTTAGAAAAAGCTTGTAATAATTCTGGACAATTTTGTTTTGCTGCTATATCAATAACACTTTCATTTTTATCGTTTAACCAAGATGCATCACCTCCATGTCTTTTATCAAAAAAAAAAATTAAATTTTCTTATTTTCTTATTTAATTTCTAATTAAAAAATATAAACTTACTTGAGAAGAATTCTTAATGGTTCAGCACCATCAAGTCCTAATAAACAACATTCATGTAATGCTGTATTACCTCGTCTACAAAACAAAACAAAATCAATAGTTTATCTAATTTCTTAACATTTCGAATATTAATGAACAAAAAAAAAGAAAAAATACACGGTCAATCTTTGATTTCAATTGATATTAAAATGTCGATATATATATATATAGAACTCACGGTCCTTTTTTTATCTAATTTAGCTTTTCCATCTATAATAAGTGTTTCTAAACATTCATAATATCCATTACGTATAGCCAATTGTAGAATCGTATAACCATCTTTATTTTTAATATTAACATCAGCTTTTTCTTTTATTAAACGTTGAACTTCTTTTAATATATCGATTTGATGTGCTGATTTTTTATTATAATTATTATTTCTTTTTTCAAATAATCGAATTAATGCATGAGTTGACTATTAATTATAATAGATAATTTAATAAGACAACAAAAATAAATTATAATAAAATATTTTATTCTTACACTCAATATTTTCTGTAATTTCTCTTGGATATTCATCTATGTAAAAAACAAAGTTTTTTTTTTTGCAAAGAATACTTTTGCCTACTATCAGAATAAATTGTATTTGAATATGGTGAACTTCGTTCACTATTTATTGGATAATATTCATCTGTTTCATTAATAAAAAATGGTGATTGTGAAAGATTTTCTGGTTTACGAAATACTGTTTGTATAGTTACTTGTTATTCATTTTCATGTACAGTTGCATGAATCATATTACCCATACGTGGTTCACCTAAAAAAAATAATTAAATAATATATAAACTTTTTTAATATTAATATATAAGATATATATAGAGAGAATTTATATTTTAGATAATAGTTATTATTCATTATAGCAAAATAAAAGTATTAGTTTGTTTAAATATTAAAGATCTTTACCAATCAATGATTGAAAATCTGGTCGATTAACTGCATAAGTTTTTAAATGAGCACAAATATGATCTAATTGTTGTCGCCAATATCCTTTTCCTGGACTTCTAGATGTTAAAATTGGACGATATTCTTTTAATTCTTTTCCATTTAATAATTTTTTATTTTGTGTTATAATTAAATCAATATCTTTTGCACTTGGATAATAAATTCCATATGTTTGTGTTGCAACTTCTTTTTTAATTGTTGAATATGATTGATGAGGATTAACTGAATTACGTGTTGATGTCTATAGAAAATAAGAATCTTTTTTTTTTGTTTTCTTTTTATTCTTTAATTTTAATATACACTAGCAATCATTGATGACGATGAAATATTCAAATCATTTTAAAGACGTGTATCAATAATACGTAATGGTCGTTCAAGAACACATCCACATGTTGAACAAAATTTTGCAAATGAATCATTATTAGTATGACATTTTGTACATTGTATTGATGTAGATGCATAATCAGGATATGCACCACACCAATCACAAAAACGAGCATTAGGATTATTTAAACGAAAATATTTTGAACATGTTATCATCATTGTATTAGTTTGTTTTGATATTGTTGGAATTGAAATTGAAGTTCGTTTTTCCTATTGAAATATAAATACGGAAAAAATAAATAAGATTTTTTTTTGTTTACTGGTGATGTCGATGTTGGTATTAATACATTTTCACAAATATAACATGTTCGTAAATGTATTGGATATGTTGATTTACAATGAGGACATAGAACTCTTGTCTAGAGAGGAACATTAAAATTTGATTAATTTTTTTGAAACCTGATTTTGAGAAGTTGGTCGCTGTTGTGGTTCTTTGGATACTGGTGTTTCACATACAACACATGTGTTAGAAATAAATGGAATAGTAGATTTACAATTTGTACATATATTAGTCTAATTAAAGAAAAATTATCCGTGTAAAATAAGATAACTACTATTCATTTGTAAAGTAATCAATACTGTTATGTAGAACAATACATGATCCGTCGAAGGATATACTCTTTATCAAATTTTACAGTTCTGA